TTTTTTTTTTTTTTTTTTTTTTTTTTTTTTTTTTTTTTTTTTTTTTTCGGATAATTTCAAATAATAAGATATTGGGGAATTAGCAATCCCTATAAGCATAGTTGTAACGATAAATTAATTTTTGTACTACTTTATTCATTATAACTAATAGCTTCTAATACCAGTAACAGTAATAAAGATAATAATGATAGTAATAGTAGTGGTAATACTAGTAGCAGTAACAATAGGAGTAGCAGTAATAGTAACAACAATAGTAGTTGTATAGTAGAAAGTACTACCAGCAGTAATACTAACTACTAATAATCATAATAGCAGCAGTTATTAAATTACTATCGGTTCTAACATTGACAAACTAATTATTTTTGCTACTACTGATGTTATACAGCATATTGTTTAATACTAAAATAATATCCAGAACGTTGTTTCATATTTCACACATCACACTCTGCGCTCACAACATCCATTACTTATATAATTTTCGTAATATTTCATTTACATACTATTCCGTACATTTCATTATCTTTTATTAGTTAGATGCTGACTTTTTATGACTGGAAAAGACTACCACTAACCGTCGTCGTCGTCGTCGTTGTCGTCATCATCATCGTCATCATCATCATCATCATCATCATCATTCTAACCATTGTTATAAATTTAATATATCAATTTTATGATACTCTCGAGATTAATATAACGGAGCGTACCCTTATAATTATCATTAATTGTCATTATCATCGTCATTGATATTATTACCCTTATTGTTGTCAACATCGTCGCTAATGATACAATTATCGGTCGTTACTTTCACACGTGTATGATTAAATAACGTTATCCTTGCAAATGAATATTTAGTGGCTGACAACGCATGGACTTGGAAGAAACCGAAGAACGTGTAAGTAATGTGACGAGGGTGACAGAAGACCGATTGCGTGAAAGTATCTTGATATATTTCAAAGATTTACGTATATAACTGATTCATCCTATTTGCCTATTGTCGCTTATACGCGATACGATCTTCTTCTGGATTGTATATGATAAACATAATAAAATAAGATGCAGGCGCAGGGGTCTGTCGGTTACGATTGTAATCAAATAATACGATAATAATAATAATGAACAATTTATCATAGCCGTGTAATATATCGATACATTTAATAATAACAAAAGTACGTGCTGTTATGATTATAAATATTTTTAATTATTTACTACCGATGTAGAGAATTTGAAGGTGTTACGTATGCATTGGAAAAGATAAAATAAGTGTGCGTATGTATATGTGTGTGCAAGTGGAGGCAAAGCGACAAAATGTTAAAACGTATGTATGAACGACATGTATCGACAATTATTATTATTATTATTTTGGATTATGTACACGTGTATCTCTGTACGTTTCATTCGAAACGGAAATGTTACATTTTCAAATGCTGCAAAAACTGCTGGTTGTATGCTGCGAATCGTAATGAAATTAAATAGTGCGATAAATTGCTTTTTGTAAATCTTGGAAATGTAATAACGTAATGATATGACGGACCCTCGTACCTAGCTTTAAGTTATAGAATATCTATAATTTTATCCATTTACAGTTAAAAATTTGACTTGTATGAATATCCGAACAATTCTGAACTTATATATAAATAACGAAAACACGAAAATAAAATGAATATTGATAAAGCATTATTCTTGATTTGCAATCACGGTGTTTGAGCTGTTTGTTGCTGTGTTGAGCTGTTTTACGGCTAATGAGCTTCCTCTGTATGTTTGGAAATAAAATATGATTTCGTGACAGTGGCATGTTCTCTTTTTCTTTTTATCTTCAACGAGATTCGCAAGTAAAAATATTTATTTTTATGCTTTTTAGTATTACGTAAATACGAGCTTTAACGCAATAATTGACTGATAAAATACTTATTGAATGAAAACAGCAGCAAACTAAACTAATTGGTAAAAGATACGACAAAAAAAAATAAATAAAATTAACTTTTTTATTGTCTATCTTTATCACGTTCAAACGTGCCTCTGTCAAGGGATTGGAGATACGGTACGTACACGTATGTACGTACATAGTTGAACGTAATTCGTCGTAGCGATGTGCTTTAAAGTATACACCAGTATGAAATTTAGACGATCGTAAGGTAATCTTTAACAAGGGTTCTTTATAACGAAAGAAAACGAGCATTTGTCATTTAATTCTTGTTTTCGATTGTTGTTTAGTTCGTACGTCAATTCATTCTTCCGAGAAGTTAGCAAAATTAATGGGGAATGAAAAAAGTGCCCTCAGCGGGCTGAAAATTGATGACAAACCTGTGGAAATAACAGATTTTTGGTCACATTATATGGCCTGTGTAAGTGGTTACAATACACAAAGGATATCGGTGTTTGTGAGTGAGCCATCCCTACATTACAATGCAAATTTTGGAAATCCATCACCGTTGGAGAAATGTACAAAGGTTAACGTTAATTTACTAATTACCTTGCATATCGTGCAAATCTTGTGAATACATGTGCCTGCAGTCGAGATCGGTCTCGATTTTTTTTCTTTTTCAATCATATTGTTTCAGCTGAATAATCGACAATTTGCAACAATAATATACATATGATGTTTCAGAACCTCATGCTATACAGACATCCTTGTATACTGAAGTACATTTCATCATGGTCAAAAGGTAGTAAATTTTTTCTAGCTACCGAACAAGTAAAACCTTTAATTCAATCGATAGAAACCCAAAATACATTGCAAATATGCATGGGATTGTACAATATTCTACGTGCATTAGTTTTTCTTCATGAGAAAGCATCTGTATCTCACAACAATCTGTGTGAAAGTTCTATTTATGTCACGCCAGAGGGATGTTGGAAGCTCGGAGGACTGGAATGTTTGTGTAAATTTAAAGACTTAACTACTTCTTATTTACAAAAAATTAGAACTTACAGATACGAGAAAGCGATATCTTTTAACGAAGATACCACAGTACCAACAAGTTTTACAACAATCGATGTATATGCATTTGGAATTTTAGCTGAAAATATATTGAGATCAAAGGATCCAGGTAAACGGTATATAATTAATTCAAGTTATACTCCAATTTAAACGATTATAAATACAAATCTTAATGGATAGATATCTTTTGCTTTCCTAGAAGATGTTCCTAGTCTTTTAGAATTTAAACAATTCTGCAAAGAGAATCTGCAAAATTCAGATCCTTCTCTGAGATGTGAACTATCCCAAATACTTCAACATCCATTCTTCACCCATGACTTTATGAGGATATATGCATTTTTAGATGAATTACCATTAAAAAATAGTAAAGAAAAAGAAATATTTTTTGGGTAAGCATTTTTGACAAAAACTGCTATTGTGATCTTTTCTACGCTTGCAAATGTTAAACCTCTTCGATGTATTGCAGAACTTTGATAACACAGTTGAGAATCTTTCCTGAAAATATCGTTGCCGAAAAATTAGGTCGTTTATTGCTTTCGAGAATAGTTTTACTAGATACAACTGCACAAGAACAGCTTTTACCGTTTATTTTAAAACCAAAGGGTAAAAAATTAAACGGCTAAAATTATACTTAAAACTGTACATAAAACACATTGATGACGCATGTATTTTATTTACAGATGGAAATACAGACAATACAGACAATAACTTGTTCTCGATTTCTACGTTTAAAGTTTATTTGGTACCGAAATTGTTGCAGATGTTCTGCATAAGAGACATGTCAATACGCTTGGTACTTTTATCATATTTCAATTCATTTGTTCATACGTTCCAAGTGGACGAGTTGAAATCCCAAGTACTTCCCGAATTACTCGTTGGAATCAAAGACACAAACGATTATCTTGTGTCTGCAACACTACGAGCATTAGCCGACATAGTTCCAATCTTGGGTGCTGCGACAGTGATCGGCGGTAATAGAGGAAAGTTATTTACAGACGGACGACCAAACAAACTGAAAGACATCAACAACACTAGCAACAGCATAAATGTCGTTCAGTTCCCGGTTCCCATGAGTACTATTCAAAAAGTAATTGATTTACCAGAAAGACCATCTCCTGACGGAGGTGAAGATAAGAAAGAGATTGCTTCTTCGATCATCGACGAAGAATACACATGGTCTGATTGGGATATACAAGAGACCGGGGACACGCATGTCCGAATTTCCTCACAGCCATCCGACCCAGTGTCTCAATCTCAGTCCCATTCCAATGATATTTCGACTTCGGATTCAACATCAAGGATTGCTACAGACGCGCAGTTAAACATAGATAAAAACAAAACGAGCAAATTAAACTCAGAAACAAAGAAGTCAGTTGCCATTTTATCTGATATTTCAGAGCTTGATATTAAAAATTCTAAACTGATTGATGCTTGTAAAGAAGAATATGATTATTTCACAGACATGGAGCCTGTGATAAAGAAGACACAGATTTTGCATGTACAGCAGCCGCAAATGTTAACGAAAAGTGTGTTTGAGATAAAAGCGCTAAACGGATTGGAAACGTCTGAAGAAAATAATGGCTGGGAAGAGGATTTAAGTGATTGGGGAACAGAAGATGCTCAAGAAGTAAAAACTTAAATAAATAAAAATGTTTTTTTTATTATATTTTTTGTATTTTTAAAAGATAAATTAGATAAAATCATTTGCTTTATTTCTTTAGGTAAGATAACAACAAAATATTCCTTGAATTACAATTTCAATGTGTAATACAAATGTATCGTCATTTTTTAAAAGCTGTATAGACGTTCTTAATTTAGGTAAAGTAAATTTCGTATACACAAATAAACGCGATATTTGATTAAAGCGATCAGTTTAAAATAATTTTTTTTCTCTCAATATAAAATTTTTCTTATAAGAAAATATAAAATTAAATATGAATTTTTTTTTTTTAATTAAAAAGGACAGAAATTTCGTATTTCAATATACAGAATTAACACGCGTTTTCATGTGTGTGTAAAGGCTTGACAGTCATGTGTACTTACTGTGTACGATATTCAACAAGACGCATTTCTATTTACATCATTTTGTACTTCTAGAGCAGTTGCTAGAAATACATTTAAGTTCCTAAATATGTTAAAAAAAAGAATAATTGAAATTTTCCAAAAATTTCTGGAGTTTTACTGTTGCAAAGATATTTTCAAACAATGTCGCTACGATAGAATTACCTAATTTGTTAGATGAATCAACAAAAATCTTTAAGGCTGTTTCCAAATAATGATTTCTTTGTTGAATAAATGATACAAAAGCAATGAAAAAACTTTTATCGTCTTGTTTTCCAATAAAATGCTTATAGTTACGTTAAGAAATTTTTTTTAAATTATAAACTAAAATTATATACTTTTAATACTCACTACACAAGACGTGAGCGTAGGTTGGAATTGTAAACTCTTTATTATACTAGATCGATGAGGGCGCAACGAGCGCATGTAAGAACCTCCTTCTTTTCATACGTGGAACATCGAGGGATAGTGTTCCAGATAGTAGTTTTGTAATATTTGTCGTCAAAATGGTGAGTAAAACTTCTTCAAGATTAATATAATTCGATAAATAAAATTTCTAGCTCTTTGTATAAATTATTTAATGTTGATAAAAATGATGGATGCACGTTAATCGGGAGGATGCGGGGAATGATGTTCGTTACAACATGTAGTTGATTATTACAATTAACTGCTTCGATAATATGAAACAACTATATATTCTGTTTATTACTTTAAATCAACTAATTTTATCTCCCGCATCACGAAGAATATTATGTTTCCATTTATTTAAAATTTTATTGACATTATGAACGTAGTTAATAATTTTCTTTAATAACTGCATCTTTTAAATACAGCTGTTAAGTGGTAAAAATTTTATCCTACCGAATAAAGAAAGATATTTTTTGCCTTACTGCATGTTGCACACTAATTAAATTTGAAACTCAAAGTTACTTCTTAGTCTAAAAATTATGTATCATTTTATAGGGTTTTGTAAAGATCGTTAAGAATAAACAGTATTTCAAACGGTATCAAGTTAAGTTCAGAAGGCGACGCGAAGGAAAGACCGATTATTATGCACGTAAACGATTAACTATTCAAGATAAAAATAAATATAATACTCCAAAATACAGATTAATCGTACGCCTGTCAAACAAGGATATCACTTGTCAGGTACATAATTTAGGTAATTCAAGACTCGACTAAAAACGTTTATCTTTAAATTATTGAAATTTATCATATGCATTACATATAGGTTGCATATTCGAGAATCGAAGGGGATAGAATCGTGTGCGCAGCATATAGCCACGAACTCCCAAAATATGGCGTTAAAGTTGGTCTTACTAATTACGCTTCAGCGTATTGTACAGGTCTCCTTTTAGCACGAAGAGTAAGTACTCTTATATTACACACGCAGTTATACATTTTATATCTAAATATTTGTTTAATGATGAAACACTCAGCTCGCTTTGATACATCACTGAAGATACATTAATTGTTCCCTGTTAATATATTTCTGAACAGCAATTATATAATGCTCGACGCAATTGATATTAGATTTAGTCTTGAAATTATGAGATTTCGTATTCTTTTTTTATAGTTATTGAAAAAATTAGGCCTGGACACCTTGTATTCTGGAACAACAGAAGTAACTGGTGATGAATATAACGTTGAGGAATTGGAGGAAGGCCCTGGAGCATTCAGATGTTACTTAGATACTGGCCTCATGCGTACAACTACTGGTGCTAGAGTTTTTGGTGCCATGAAAGGTGCTGTCGACGGTGGCCTCAACATTCCGCATAGGTAGGTTTATTAATACAGTTGTTTTAAAAAATATTCAATGAGGTAAACTGCAAAAGGTAGTCGCTAATTTCAATAAAATGTGATGTTTCTTTAACACATGCGCGTCATTTGAGTCGTAGCAAGACATGATTTTGTATCTGTGTTCTACAATACAATTTACTGTCTTCGCATGGATATAAAGAGATGAAAAATTGTGTTTCTGATAATATATAATTAGCAATAGAAACAACGTGGCTCGTGTCTTTAAACATTTATGATTGCCTATTGTTTTTCTATGAATAGTACCAAGAGGTTCCCCGGGTATGATAGCGAATCAAAATCCTTCAATGCCGATGTTCATCGACAACATATCTTTGGACAACATGTTGCAAACTACATGAGGACGTTGGAAGAAGATGATGATGAAGCTTTTAAACGACAATTTTCGCAGTACATCAAAAATGGTATTACTGCTGATAGTGTAAGTATTTATATTTTTTATTTATTTATTTATTTACATGTCACATTCGTCCAGCTTATAATTACCGCAAAATTTCATGATATTTGCGGTGTCGCAGTTGGACAATAATAAATGCATTGGTTTTACAAGATGAATGCATCAATCATGGCATTTTTCACATTGACCTATGTTACATTTCACGTATCATGATTTATTTTTTATTCCTACATTGATATTCTACATGATATTACATATATTTAATATGTACGTATATGAATATACATGTTAAAAAAACACATTTGTGTAATTTTTGTCTATAGATCGAAGGTATTTATAAGAGCGCCCATGAAGCTATACGTTCAAATCCGGAACACACGAAGATCGTTAAAGAGAAAATACCGGTGAAGAAGCGATGGAATCGCGCCAAACTTTCCTTGTCAGAAAGAAAGAACCGTGTTATTCAAAAGAAAGCTTCCTTCCTTAAAACACTAGAAGAAGTGGAAGCTTAGTTTTATTGTTTTATCATTTAACATCGTCAAAATCAGTGTCCGTGTATATGTGAAATTTGGTATAAAAATAAAAAAAAATTGTATAATAGAAACTCTTGTATAATAGAAACTCTATATTTCTTTTGCTATATTAATGAATAATAATGAAGAAATTATGGATTATTTCTAAGCACATCATCGCACAATGCGTTGATTTGGATAATATAAAGACGTCAATTTTTGATATGGATATATTTTTCTCTCACCAATAGTTTATTTTCTGAATGTTACGCAGAATGTTTCCGATCTGGAGAATCAGGTACAACTAGAAAGGTGATTCTGCATAAAAGAATAAGTCTAAAAGAATGTTTTCCTTTCAAGAAGAAATTTCTGGAGCAAGTTCTGGACTGTAGAGTGACAATTAGAATAACAACTGATTTTACAAAAACAAGTCTAACATGTAAAATAACATTTTTTCCACTTAAAGCCTCATTTTCAAGAAAATAGATTTTGTTAAAAATTGCCTTTGTACACGTATATGTGATAACTTTTCAAATCCGATTTCAAAACTTAGAAGATTTAAATGAAAATATTTTATTTTTCATTTTCAACTTATTTTTTTCATGTAAAATCACTGTTTTTTCAGTCGTACTATTAAATCAGCAACATCAGTACATTTATGTAACACGTAACGATCATAACATTCGTTGTTTATATCCATATTGATATATCGCATACATGTTTTTACGTAACATATTTGTTCAAAATATGCGCATACATAATATATATTTGATATATGACATGAAAAAAAATTTAAACGAACAAATTGACACAAATAAATTAACAAATAACTTTTAATTACACGCGTGATATTTTAAATATAAAACTTTAATTTAATTGAATCAAAAGAAAGTACGAATCTTCAGATCACAATTTTCATTTAAATTAACGAAAAAGTGACAATCTGCTACGGGAGCCGGGTAATCTGCCTTGCACATCAATTAATCCAGCTTGAATATCTCGGATTGAAGGAACAGTTTTTACTTCCCCTCGAGCTGCTACACTAGGCGGTGATTTAAGTAAACGATGTGCCACACTTTTTACATCGTCTTTTGATATCTCATCTAGAAATAATACAAATATAGCTTTGTCATTATTTTAACGAATAATTAATTCATAATGTGGTTATATTAAAATTTACGGATATTGAGCCGTCTAAATTTTTTGAGCAACTATCGCGATATATGTCAGAATTTTTCGTGCTTAGTTACTACATTTTTCAAATGTATATGTCATGATAAGAGAAACTAGTGTCTACTTTGAAATAATCGGACAAATTCAGACCAAAAAGTGAGTTATAATGTTCTGAACAATTAATATAACAGTACGATATAGAACTACTAGTACCAATTGCTTTTATGAAGTATTCTGGTCGTTTCCTAGAACCAGTTGCTAAAACTTGTCTTCCAATATCTTCAAATACAACCGGTCTTTGTTCCAAATTCATGAGTAACATAGACTGCAATTGTTTCTTTGCTCTCTGCAGAAATAAAAAATTCTCCAATTAAGTTTAAAAGAGAACGGACGAATGTAATTACTACGCGTGTGTGAGTAAACCTTATAATGAAAATCATACCGCTAACTCGTTATCCGTAATATTGTTTGTCATAGTAACCATCTCGTGCACGATCACTTCCACCATGTCTCTGACATGAGATGGTGTACAAGATGCGTGAATGTAAAACAGTCCTGTGTCGGCGTACGCGTGATTATACGCAGTTGCACTGTACAACCAGTGATATCTGCAAAACAACTATACTTACAACAATACTTTCCACTTAGCTTTCCAAGCAGCAAAAAGTTATTCTAAATTTTACCTATTAAGTACGTTTGTATACAGACGAGTATACATTCCCTTTCCTGGACCACCAGCACTGAAACTACTACCACCTCCCATCATCATATTTAAAACGCACATTGCTACAAAATTCGAGTCCTGATGAGAACAGCCTTCCAAGCCTATTACGACATGCGACAATTCTGGTAGACCACTGGGTCCTGCATATACGGGAACATTACATTCTTCCTACACAATTACAGAATTTAAAATATTAAGCAACGATCCTCAAAGGTACCGTAATACGTATAATTTAAAACGATAATTACTAGTATGTAACCTCCAGTATATTGAGCAATCGAAGTGTCAACTGTATTTACACGTTTTCCTACGGAGTCATTTTGTACTTGCCCTCCCTCTTCTTCCTCCCAGATCGATTTTTCTTCAACAAAATATCTGCAATGATGATAATAAATTTTATCCGAAATCGTTACATCTAAAATGAAATATCTTGAATAGCTTAAATAGCTTACTGCATTTTAAATCGAGAAAAATTTATACAATAACATTTCGATTTATACCGACGAATACTTAACGAATACTTAATTATAAACAGTTTTGTTTATAATTACTTTTGAACTGCTGAAACGAGATCCTCGTGCTCTACACCAACTCCAGCTACTACCATCCTATGTGGCGTGTAATGACATTTTAAATACTCAAATAATATTTTTCTATCTATATGATCAACATTTTCTTTTGGACAAATCTTTGGCAGTCCAAGGGTGTTATTTCTATATGCAGCCTATATAGAGAAAATTTTAATTAAACGTGCATTCTTAAAATTTTGCTGAAATACTTTTTTTACTTACCGCATGAATTATATCCATAAGTATCGGCTCCTGTTCCGGTCTTGTGAGTAAAGACTCCAATTCAAATTTAATCATTTGTCTTGCAGCATTTATCTAAAAAATTTTCACATATAGCTTGTAATTTTTATATCATATTTATCTATCTTCGTGTAACAAATTGCTACATTTTCTAAAGTAAACCTTTGAAAGTAATTTACCCGCAGTTACTACAATTTATAAGAATTACTTTACTCTCTGTTATAAATAAGGTGCATGTAAAATATGTTATACCGACATATAACAACTTTTTACCTCCTCCTGTGTAATTTGAGGCCTTAAAACAATATCACCCAGAATTTGTACAACAGTATCCAATCCACGACGTTCAGCTGATGCTGCATAGACAAATGTATCCCTGGATGCTTGACAATCACATATGCCTCCATGTTTCTCTAACGCCAGCATTATCTCGTCTTTATTCTTATAAGTTTTGGTAGACTGTAAGAGTAAATTACTGATTTTTTTTTTAGTTCTTGAATGTTAATTCTTCGTTATATTATAAAAAAATCTTACTCCAAACGCCAATTTTTCTAGGAAATGTGAGATACCACTGGGGTATGCAATTTCATATCGAGGGCCAGAATCAAGTAATACTGCGAACATTGTTTTAACGTACAAACAAACGATCCAAATGAAAGAGTATTATACTTCTTTAAACTTACTGCCTACTGTGCAAAATTGGCCAAATCGATTTTCCGAGGCAACTTTCAATCCATTTGATAAAACTGTTACTTTGGTAACCTGATGTTCCTCTTTAGCAGTGGCATAAACTGCTTTAGGCAAGTTAGGTACTGGCTGAGTTAGCGGAGGAAATGGTGTGACGATTGATTTTCGTGTTATATTATTATTAATTGTCTTTTGAGAGGAAAAGCTACATTTTTTCAAAAAACAAACACTTCTTCTTCGCACTGCACTGAAAAAGATATCATAAAACGAGTTTAATAATAACGCAAACATTGACTTATACACATGATCGTTAATAGGTTAAGTGGAAAATTCTTGTATCACTGCAAAACTCTTTCCGTTAGAATAATTACCTATTAGCAAAAGCGATTATCGTCAAGGAACTTTGCGACACTTGCATCAACATTTTTATCTTATTGTTCGTACCAAATCATTTAATGTACATGTATACTTAACTTAACTTGTCACCTTCACAGTTTAAGAATGAAAAATAATCATAACCAAACAATATTGGAAACTTACTAGACAAAAATATCCCTATGAAGTTAAAGGAAGATTTTCATGACACTTACTTTTCCGGCGGGATATTTGAAATGACAGCTAACTGTCATAGAAATTTTATAAATAATTTTATAAATAAATTGTATAAT